CACATAGTGAAAGTTCAACAGATTGATCGGGAAAACTACGCACATGTATCAAAATCCCTCGAACATCCAATCCCATAGACCATAAACTCAACGAAACGAATGATCTCTTCCACGAATTAATTTCGCACTTCAATGCGTTTTAATTATCGCACGTTCGTTAATTAGTTTTCCCTCGAATATTCGTCTAAATTTTTCATTGAAATAGTTCACTACTGGTGAAGCTGGAACTAGCGGAATGGTTGTCGACGGAAAATTCAATTTGGGCTTCAACGCTCAAACAATTGGGACAACAATTTACAGGGATTTTCGATTGATTTTGTTATTGATAAATCAGTCAATGTTCTTGAATATTCAATGAAAATTACTGAAAAATGTGAAAATTCAGGCATCTTTTCTTCTGAATTTTAAATCTGCTTAATTTTCCGATAGGTTTGAAAGTCCAAATTGTCATTGAAAATTCAATAATCATTCATAGCGAAAAACAATTTTTCTGATGATATTTTTTCTATCCATAATATGTAAGTAGAAAAAAGTATATAATTAGAAAATATCTTTTTTCAAAGAGATAAAAAAAAGATTTGTATAATCTAGGATCTTCTGAAAAATCGATTGTTCATAAATTATTTACAGAAAATGCTCGTAATTTTCAACAATTGCAAATTGTTTAATTATATCATCAATTTTCCTCCAAAAGTGAACTTCCTAATTTTTTTTCGAGGCTTTAAAATGTTTTCTAACGATTCAATATAGAGATTCAACTTCAGCCGTGCAAAGTTTAAATAATAAAATCATTGTAACATGTCCCGAAAGTTATAATAAACGGATTCTGTTCTCGATGTGTTATGGATGTGAAATAATATAATTCTAGCTGCAATAAGTGCCGGTTAAAACGTGACATCAAACTATATGGCCCTTTGATAGTTTACCGTTACTTTTATCATTTCCAAACACAAATGAAAGAATAATAAAAAATATAATGAGCCACCAACTCAATTTATGCGCGCGCGTTTTTTTCGTAATTCAAAAAATTTCCGGGAATGGTAAATATTTTCCAATGGCTGAGAAGTAGAATTTTTTAGAAGATTAATGAACGGACTCTGCTCCAGATACTTTGTGGTGCAATCTGACTAGTGGCGTGAAGCAATTATTTACTGTGAAATAATATAATTCTAGCTGTAACATGTCACGGTAAAAGGTGACATCAAACTATACGTTTCATTGACAGTTTATTATTTTCAATAACAAGTGAAAGAATAACAAAAATAATGATCCACCAACTTAATTTATGCGCGCGCTTGCTTTTTAGTAATTCAAAAAATGTCCGGGGATGGTAAATATTTTCCAACAGTGGAAAAAAGACAATTGCGAGAGGTTGGACTTTTAAATACAGGGGGAGAGAAAAGCGTGGCGGATTGTAAACGAATGGTTGGGGGGGGGATTGAGGCAGGTCGCGTAGCCATGATGGCCGCAAAATCACGCGGAGTTGCCAGGGTGACCGCGTAGGTGGGACACACGCGGTTGCCAGGGGGTGGAGCCTAACTCCAATGGCGGCCATCATGAATTTTAGCTCCAACAATTACCGACATCTGGATGAGAAACCGGGAACTATCTCATCTCCTTTGCCGCCCATTTTTCAATGATTTTTCCGCAATTTTTTTCTCATCTTTTTTTGATCCTCTCCTTTTCATCTTTGAAAATGACTTTCGAAGATTTTGAAATTGCGATGGGCATTTTGGGGTAATTGTGGGGGAATTGTTTCGGGTCGATACAAGGGATTACCCTTTCGGAATTGGATGGAGGGGTCTCTTGGCAACAGACCTCACGTGCACATGCATTTCTGAGGCACTCAAAGTAAAGCAATTATACAGTGAGACTGACAAAGGCGAGTTTACGCAAGAACGGGGGGGGGGG